GTTTGTGAAATATAGGGAGTATGTTCATCTTGGGGAATGGGTACATTTACAGACCGTATCTGCATCATTCTATTCCCCTCCCCCTCCCTGCTGCCGCACCCTCTCCCATCCCCCTCGATTATCATGTGTTTTACCTGGACTTTAAGTGGTACAGCTCAGCAAGCACCTTCTCTTCCACTTCCAGTTTCTCCCGCATGGGCTTTAGCTCTCCCTTGCCTTGTGTAGGCCCCCAGCTCCTCTGGACGTAGAAGGCCAGGACAGCCACCATTCAATGAAGCTTTTTGTCTTTACACCCCATTTTGGTCCTTCTGAGAAATATTCATGCTTCAACATCGCAGTACTTTACTCTGCGACTAATGGGGCATTCAGTGTACTATATATAAAGTTCCAGACCAGAGAGTGGAAACGCTTTAACAAAAAAATAAGAGTTGGATTAAGTGGGCTATTTGGAAACCCGTCAGTGCGCTAATATAACTTTTATGTTCAGAAGCTTATGGGTTGAACTCCACCCAAGCCTGCAGCTTCTAAGAAAATGGCAGAAGAGGCCCAGCCTTATGTTTCCCCCACAAGGGCAGTAAAGGAGTAATCCTCAGCATCCTGCTTGCATGGCAAGGTCGCGGGACAGGCTGTGGCCTTGGCAGCTGGCTGTGCTAAGCAGGTAGCTTTGTAGATCTGCTGGGAGCCTGGGGGTCAGGCCGGGAGGGAAGGGGCTCTCATGCTCAGGCTTGCAAGCTGTGTGGACCCACCGGGCTCATTTGCCTCAGAACACTTAGAAGGCTAAAGAGAGTGCTGTCAGTACGTTGTGGCGTCGGAAGGGTCGGTATGTCACTACCTTGGTGGCTTTCTGATAATGGTCAAAAGCCGAACTCCAAGCCTACCCAGCTTCGCACAGAAAGGACAGCTTCACACTTTCAGTGTGTGGGGGGTGGGAGGAGAGGTGTGGCCATGACTGAGAGGAAAGTTAGACCGTAGGAAGTGGCAACAGCAAGGTCTGTTTGCTCCAGCTGCTGACGATTCAGAAGTTAGACGGTGGAATGATTGGCGGGAAATGGCTGGTAGGGCCCCCCAGGTGCTGCAGCACACACAGGTCAGTGGGAGTCCAGGCCCAGCACTGGACAGGGCTTCTGGTGACACAGAGCTGACAGCCACTTCTACAGTGATAGGAAATTGCCATCAATACCTTTGAACTGGAAGCTTGGCTCATCAGCTTGTGTGCAGCCCATCTGCTCTGGCTTAGAGCTTGCTTGGAAGAAACTCTATCATTGCAAACCAACCTGGGATAAATTCCTGGTGGGTACCATGGGAGAGAAAGGGGGGCTCCCACCCACCTCAGTGGTACCCTCTGTGGACACTAGTGGAGAATCCCCTGAGATTCTGCAACCCAGGGACTAGAACAGAGTTCAGGGACCAGTGCTGGGAACAACAAGGATCTGGTACGCTGGGCCTCAACTCTGTTGATGTCCTGAGAGATGCTGAGAACTTTCCTGTTTACTGGCAGAATTATTTCCCTTCTTCACAAGCCCCATAAGAAGTAGGGGAAGAGTAGAGAGTCAGAGGAGGGTGAGCAGAGCAGGGGCGGCAGCAGCATTTTTGAGCGCTGGAAACAGCTGGGCTTGGTGACTGGCCAGGAGTGCAGGAGGAGGAGTGTGTGCTTAGGGATGACTCGTGTGTCTCTTGCTGGGCAGCTGGGTGCATGTGTGCTGTCCTCAGACAGCAGACTGTGGAGAAGGAGAAGGAAGAAGAGGAGGCTGTGGCTTTGGGAAGCAGGATAGTGAGCTCCAAGATTCAAGGGCAGGGCAACCAGTGAATATGAAGAAGTGAGTGGTGAGGACTAGGGCGCTGCGTACGGACAGAGAAATGCAGACACTTCGAGTTCATCAGAAGCAGGTCGAGTGGGACTTTCATCTCAGTAGAAATGCCGATCCAGTCACAGAGGGAGGCAGAGGATAATGAGACTGTGCACACTGCATCGCACCCAGTAACTAATTATGCAGGGAGGATCTGAGAGATGCGTGTGGGCTTTCTCTGTGTGTGCAGCTTGACCAGGATGGACAGGGCTGTCCTTGTCAGCTAAGAAAGGGACTCCAGGGAAATACGCAGAATGCTTGCCGTCATCACAGCTAAGATAAACACATTTTCCCAAGGATTTTACAGTGAAAGAAAAGAGGTCCCCCCTTTTTTTTCTTTTTCTTTTTCTTTCTTTTCTTTTTTATTTAATTTTCCAGAAAGATCTTGTCCTGGGCCCCTATGGGAATTTAGGAGAAAGTAAGAAGAAAACATTGAGGAATTGAGAGAACTTGAAGAAAATGTCCGTGTTCAACAAGAAACTGCTGAGGAGAAGGCTTATGTGAAACAGGGTCAAATTTAGTATAGATGCTGCGAAGGAAGGTTTGTTAAGAGTAGATCTGGAAGATAAGCTCTGGAACTGAGGAAGATCCAAGGGAGCTCGCGGCTGTAGTTTCATGGGCGGCCTCTAGAAGGCCTCAGAGTGAGGCATCTGCAGACTGGTCAAGCACGAAGAAATCCTACTTTCAGGTTTCTGACTTTCTTCCTCACAAGCCTCAAGCCCATGCAGAAGCCCTCTCCTCTCAGATGTCCTAGGTGTTAGAAAGACCAGATGGCCAAGTCAGAATGTCATTGCATTGCAGGAGCTCGAGAATGAAGAGGTTGAAGTTCCAGCCCCAGTTGGCGTCTGGTAACTGTGGGCAGATGATTGACCTTTGCCTGTACTCATTTTTCCCCTCTGTAAGATGGGTGCAGACAGTATCTCCTGAAGTCCTGAGAGATTCAACGTGACAACAGACATAATTTATTGTCACAGTGCCAGGCACGTAGAAAGTCATCATTAAAAGTCTATGATGGGGGGCCGGGGAGATAGCTCAGAATAAGGCCTGAGTTCAAATGGCTGTGATCCATTATGACTGCCCTGTCTCCTTTGCTAGTAAGAATTACTAGATGAAAAAATGTCTAAAAAGTAAAAAGTACTACTGGGAGACCAAGGCAAGAGGATCACCATGAGCTTAAGGCCAGCCTGAAATGTATAGTGAAACGTTGCCTCAAAAGGACAAAAAAGTAAAAGGTACCATGCAAAAGCTATGTTGTTGTCAATTACTATTATTAATAATAGTTTCAAAATTACTCTTGCCATAGTATTAAGTGAAAGCTCCTGGGAAAATAGGAACAGTTATTAACAGGTCTGCCAACTCCCGTTACTAGATCTAACGATACGTTTCTCTCTGGGAATCCTTTGACAAATCAGCTGAATTTCCTATTCCCTTGCCCTAAGCACTGCAAATCTGATCCACATGTCCCCAGTGTTGTTTCTGTTACTGAATAAGGGGGAAAGGAGAAGCCTGGCTGGGCCAGGATGGGCGGCTATGGGTTGGAGTGTGCATTGGGATAGCTTCCTCTTTCATTCTTCTTCCTCTAATGCTCAGGACCAGCTTGTCCGCATGTGTTTGGTTACTCTGCTGGCAGGGAGAATCTCTGCTCCAGGGAGCAGGGCCTTAGTCGGGGTTGGGGGAGATCTGCCGACATGCCCTTCCTCCTCCTCTCAGGCAAACAAGGCTTTGTAGAGTCAACGCTGGCCGCTGGCCCTGCAGAGATGGTAGAGTCACTGCCACCCACGATGGGTGACCGGACGGCTAGAGGGGCAGGAAGGGATGGCCAGGACTCTTTGCCCAAGAAACAAAAACACACAGGGCTCAGCGGGGGCCATCCTGGGGAAAGAGGCCATCACCTCACTGTTGCATGGTCTCATGCCTGAGCCGCTGAGCCCCTGAGCCCCAGCAGCTGTGGACTCACAGTGAGTTAAGCGTTCAGGTCCTTGAGCCCTCACAGTCCAGATTTGAATCCCAGCCCTCCCCTGCCCTCCCTTCCTCTGAGCAGATCACTCACACCCTTCCTACGTCAGCCCCCTCCATATTAAAAATGGAGCCAGGGTTGCCCATCATGAGGGTCGTGGAAAAAATAAATGCAACCATGTAAATCAAGCCTATGCTTGCCACACAAAGTAAAAATAACAGCAACAGCACGCGACAGAGCTTTCTCCAGCTAACCAGTGATGCAGAAGGCTGAGTCGCCTGCCTGAGGTCACACCGTGGGGCAAGTGACAGTCCTAGGGTCATAGGCCCCAGCTGTCCCTCTTGGGGACCCTGGCCCCACCACCCTGTTGCTCCCTGCCTGCAGTGTGACTGTTCTTATCCCTCACATGGGTGGCACAGAGCAGCCTACCCAGACTTGGGCACAGCTGGAGGGGTCTCCAGTTAGCTCAGGAAATCCTTTGGGGTTTTTTCTTTAAAAACAAAAAAAGGGAACTTTGGACAGAAAAGGAGCAGTTACCAAAAGCTGGAGATATCTCTTCTAGAATCGCTGCAACTAGAACACTGGAACCACATTCTCATAAGCAGCAGGAGTCATGTTAAACAGCCTGGTTTTGCTTTGCTGGGGCTTTCTGAGAAGCTGCACAGCTCGCTGGAGGGATTTGCAGGCTGTCACCCCCGGGATGGATTCTGACAGCTCCGCTCTGCGCTGCTGACGTGCTAATGAGAAACACTAATTGGACTTGGCCTGGGCTGGGATGTGTCTGCCCTCTTGGAGTGGAGAAGGCAGCATCCCTTTCCAGGGGTGGCTTCCAGCCCCTTCTTAGCCTGAAGGAGAAAGGAGACAATGAGGAGATGTGAGAGGACTCCACAGGTGTCACTGGCCTTGAGGTGGGCAGGATGGCTGCTCTCCTGTGATTCAGCCACCCCTGAGCAAGGCCTCATTGTCACCGAGCACAGTGCCACTCAGGCGCCCTGTGAATCCTCAGTGAAAGCAGGCCAGCTCTTCGGGCAACACCAAGAAAGGATGGTTTCCCCTGGGTACAGGCCTCGGCCACAAGTGGCAGGGCTCATGGTGATTCGTCCCTGGCCTTGCTCTCTCAGGGCTCTCTAAGGGGCTGTGGCCCGTGAAGTTCTCCCAGCTTCCCGTGGTGACCTCTCTGCCTTGCTGCCCCACAGGTGTCCTTTCCCTCCCTGCGTACTTCAGCCCCTACAACGGTGGGTCTCTGGCCCACGATGAGCGAGCTGATGCCTATGCCCAGCTGGAGCTTCGGACCCTGGAGCAGTCCCTCCTGGCCACATGCGTGGGCAGCATCTCAGAACTGAGTGAGTGTGGCCTGTGCGCTCCACGGGCGGGCAGGGCTGGGGTCCAAGGGAGGTGGGAAAGGACTGGCCGCCTACTTCCCCTTGAGCGCTGCCTTCTAGCTCTTCCGACGGCCCTGCAGTCCCAGGCCTGCTGTTCAACTGCTTCTCTACCCCTGGGCCTGTGCATCTTCCGCCAGATGCCCAAATGCATTGATCCTTTGCACTTTCAAGCTTCCTCCCTGGAGGCCCTTTATCAGACAGGGCTGCCTCCTCCCTTTATAAACAAGCTCCCATGCACCTTCCTCTGCTTCCCCTCCAGGAACACAGGAATTCGGCTTTATGCCGCGTGCAGACCCCCACACGACGCCAGTTTACTTGTCAGTACTTTATCATCTTCCTCCTCTTGAGTACAGTGGTATCAGCTTCGGGAGGACAGAGAGTTGATCCCTACTGTCCCCTGCATTGTTTCCAGCGAATGGGAGAAAACAACCCCCTCACTCAGGGTGTAGGCACATGCGTGTATCACAGGAAACCAGTTCTGTCCCACCCGGCGTTTGTCTTCTGCAACTCCTGAAGTCAGAGAAAGTCTCCCCAGAGACAACAGGACAGGCTGTGTCACCTGCTACATCGTCCCTGTCCCTCCCTCTGAAACTGGAGGGTTTTCTGCCTCCCTGCCATGGAGGAGGGAGGAGAGAGAGGAGGAGGTAGATATTGCAGTTCTTCTGAGATTCAAGTGCTTAATGAGGCTAGTGATACTTGGCACCGCGCACCGTGGCCCTAGAAGTCTACCCTGGGTTTTACATGCGTTAACTCTCCCTACCCCACCAAGCCCAGCCTGCCTGGGAGGGTGAGAAGTTTCGTTCTTGTATCGGGTCCAGCTATGCAGGGAGCTTGGGTCCTTATGTTTTGTTCTATCCTTCTGTACCCATGAAAATTTTAAGGTGAAGAGATTTTAAAAAAATAAAACTGTTCTTTTTTGAGGTGGCCAAGACAGTGCTAAATTCCAGACTCTGGCCTGCCTGCCGTTTTTATTTGATGGCTCATAATGAGGGTTGGAAAGACCAGAGTGAAACCCGTGCAGCACCTCTGATCAAGCCTTTCATGGTTAACAAGGGGTGAGGGCCTGTTTTTCCATGCCTGGTGGGTGTTTCTGGGCTCCGGGCCAAGTTCACCGAGCTTAGGATCCATTGATTCTCAAGTAGGAGGAAGTTACAGAAGCGCCAGGCACATACCTGCGCGGACCTAAGAGCCAGTCCAGCCAGCCTGGGCTCCTTCCATAGCCCGTGGGACAGGGACAAGGACCGAAACTTTGTACAGTGCAGTAGGTGCAAATGTCTACACGAATGAGATAAGACCTACAAAATTCAAGCCCAGCTTTTAAAGTTACTATCAGATGAGATAGACATAAAATGACTGTCAGATTACTATGGATTTTTAAAAAACATTTCACTTTCCATTTCTGACATTAACCTGTGAGCCAGTCACAGCTTATGCAGCTGTCCCTGTGGAGGCCACAGTCTAAGCATACACGTGGACAGTGGGGTCTGGTCCCAGCTGTCACACTTACTAGCTGTGCAGCTAGGGCAGGTCACTGGTCTGCTCTGAACTGCTCTGTCCTGTGGAAGTGCAATACCTCCCTGCCAACATGGAGAACTGCCCATGTAGTGGTGGGGCTTAGATGGAACAAGCCCGGACCTTCAAGTTCCTGACCCTCTAGGGAGCTTCTCCTGACATTCCTTGCGGGAAACCATGAGGAGCAGGTTTCCTTCCTTTCTTGCTGTCTTGCCTGCATCCTGGCTAGAAATACACCACCAAGGGGTTCTCCACCAGTAACAATAAAACAACAATAAAAGTAATTAATAATAATGGCTTTTTCCTTGTTGAGGCTTTGGAGTGAAATTTCAGCAAGATGCATGCGTCCTTGATGCTATCTGAGCCTCTTTGATTTCTCCTCCTTGTGGCCCTGTGGCCCTGCCCAATGTTATGACATTTAGACCTTCAGAAATGGAAGCCAAGTCTCAGCCTCCTGCCATGCGACTGGCAGAGGCAAGAGGGCGGGGTAGCCGGCTGTGTGCGCCGCCAGTTTCTGCCACTCAGGAGCCTGAGGGTAGGGCTGGGATTCTTTCTGAGCACTTTAGGACTCAGGACTCCTCCTGTCCTGGGAAATGTGAGGTGGTGCTTACCCATAGGTCATGGTTTGAGAAGGACAAGCTCGTCATGAGTTGACTAGAGCATAGAGGAATAAACCAAGTGTAGTGGCATATGCTTGTCATCCCAGCACTTAAGAGGCTGAGGCAGGAGGGTCACCTTGAGTTCAAGGCCAGCCTGGACTATACAGTGACACCCTATATCCAAAAAATAAAACATAGAGGAATAATGATAGGGCACTAAAAATCTGGCAATCCTAGTGTTATAGTCAGCCTTACCAAGTACTTAGTCTATGACAAAAAGACTCTAAGTGTTTCCCACCTGTTGTTTCCCTAAATCTTCACTCTTGGGAGACACTATCATTTCCATCCTACAGATGAGGAAACTGAGGCTCTGAAAATTGCATCCGCTTGGCACACAAGCTAGTGGTAGCAGAGCTCTGATTTGAGCGCATGCATGTCTTGACTTCCTGGTGGTTTTCAATCCTGATTAAATAGTAGGTCGCTGAGGGAAACTACCAACTACAGATGCCAGAGTTCTGCCCCAGGTGGATAGAACCAAAGTCTCCTCCTGACAGGACCGGGTGTCGGGACATTGCTGCACCAGCTCTGCTGGCTGTGGGGCCAGGGGAACACCCCGGGCAGCTGAAGCCTACAGGGATAAGTAGAGCTGGAAGTACAGAGAAAGTGACTACCAGGGGATGGAGGAAGGAGAGAGGACTCCTGCCCAGTGCAGAGCTCCAGGTCTAGGAGTGTCATTTGTCCCTGCCTGGAAGCCAGATACCATCACCATGGCTGTCCTGGGAGAATCTGGCAACTAATAAGCATGAGTCAAGCCTTCCTGGAAGTTGCCTTTAAAAGTGAAATGCGGGTACAGACGCTTTATTCATTCACTCCCCAATGTCTGCCCAGTGCGTCACACACAGAAGACCCTGTGCAGGGTCCCAGGCACACAAGGGACTGTGCTCAAGCCCAGAGTCCCAGAAGACAGATAATCAAGTTGAACTGGGCAGGGGAATAAAGTGGCTCTGCTGCTCACTGAAAGGCGCTGCAGTGGCCAACCTGCAATCTGCTTGTGTCTACCACCTTTGGCTTAGCTGTGTCCGCAAGGCTTCCTGCGGAAGTGGCTGCTGGGGAGGGGAGGGGGCTCACAGCCAGAGGGGCCCTCAGGTTCTTAGGCCTGGGGGCAGCGCTGTAGCAGAGGGGCTAGCGGCCCAGAACAGAGGTGCCCGCAGGTGCCCTGAGCTATTTCAGCCCATCCTTTCTCAGCATTGTGGTCTCACACAATGATGGGATGGAGTTTCCTATCCCTGGCTGGTGGGATGTTGAAAAGACTTGACCTACAACACAGGATGTGGGGACTGGGACCCCACAGCCTCCAGCAGGATGGGCTGCAGCCGGGTCACAGTGAAGTTCACAGACCTCGGAGCCAAGAGTAGACCATCCTGTTCACTAGCTGCACGTGCACCCGGGCTTTCCTATGAGCAGGAGAATGCCCGGGATCAGGAAATGTTTATCAGATAAGCCTCAATTTCATCCTCTGTAAAATGGGAGTAATATTTGACCCCCTGGAGGTGTAAAGGTCAAGCTAACTGGCATTTCTAGGGAACTGCATCCTTGACACCTCTGTTGGGCACTCTCGGTGGTGCTGCCCACGGTCCTGTCTTAGCAGGGGGAGTTGCCCCGGGGCCTGGCACGGACTGTTCGAGGCTGGGAGCAGAGACCCAGAGAGATTCTCAAGACTGGAGAGCTGGGGTGGGAGCAAGTGAGGATGTTGAAAAAGAAACCACATTAGCATAGTTCTGGAGGACGCCAGCCCTGAGCTTTTAATTCATCTGTTAGGAGGAGACTGGAAATGAAAGGGAAACTAAATTGCTATTGTGCATGCAGGTGACAGTTTCCACCTCCTCCGCCCGCCCTAGACTGCAGGGTAAACAGTAATTAAGGGAGTGATGGAGCCGGTTCTCTTAGGCACGGCATCAGGGAGCATGTGGGATCTGCACTCAGACTTGGTCTTCGGTTTCTGCCCCCACTCCCAGGCGACCTGGTCTCCCGCGCCATGCACCACATGCAGGGGCGTCACCCTCTGTGTCCTGGTTCCAGCCCTGCCCGCCAGGCCCGCCAGCCGCCTCAGCCCATCACCTGGTCCCCCGACGCCCTCCACACGCTCTACTACTTCCTGCGCTGTCCACAGATGGAGTCCATGGAGAACCCCAACTTGGACCCCCCAAGAATGACCCTGAACAACGAACGGTAGGCATCTGCCCAGGCTGAACAGTGTGCATGGACTGGCTGCCTGGTGGCTGATTGACAGCACGAGGGACCCTGTGGCTGGCTATGGTGCCTGTGAGGAGGTAGCGGGGGGCTTGGACGGATGAAGGCCTCACCCGTGTACGCAGCCGGATTTGGTTTCTTTGAAGCCCAGGGTAGATGCAGTGTGAGGTCAGCATGGACCCCAGGCCTCAGCGCTGGGCCTGCCAGCTTGGCACAGAGCACTGGGCTCCTGGAGACTCAGCTGCTCTCTGCCAAATATGGCCTGTTTGTCCCCCTCCACTGGTTTCACAGATGAGTGTTGGGCCCCGACAGCTCTTTGATCTGAGCCTGCTGCCTGTCTTCATGCTTTCTCCAGAGACCCAGCCTTTGCCTTTCCCAGGTGGGGTCAGGGTGGCTGAGAACAGGTGCACAGGTTGGGTGCTGCAGAAGGAGGAGCCAGCAAGGGCTCGAAGCAGGAACGCATGCTGGCCTATGGACAGGCTGCCTTTCTAAGCACTCTACCCAGGCTGCCTTTTTAACTGTTCTGCTTAGAGCACGTGCTTTCTGTAACTGCCCCAAGACCACGTGCGCTGGCAGCTTGGCTACTTGGCTTAGGAAGCCCCGTCTGCATTTCACCTCACAGGGCAGGGCAGGAGAGGCAGAGGCCCAAAGACTCCACCCATCCGGGACAGACAGCAGCTGGGGCCTGAGTCAGCTGCTTGGTGTGTAGGGCCACCATTCATGACTTCGGCTGGCTCCACGGCCAAGCCCACCTCTTCCACTCATCCACATTCACGGGACCCACAGGCGACGAGGGGGGCCTATAGCAGAGTCCATGAAAAACAGTCTACAGGAAAACCCTGGCAACACTGGGATCAGGAGCAGTGGCCTTGGGCTCATTGGTGGCCTGGGAACAGACAACAGTGCTTACCTTGAGAGGTTCTTGGGAGCTGTGAGCATGCGCCCAGGCCTCTGCCGGCCTCCTTTCCTCACTCACGCAGAGTGCTGCTGTGACTCAGTGCTCCGGGAAGCACAGTGATACCGCTCACACTTTACTCCTCTGGGAGTGGGAAGGGTCATGGAGGGCTGAGCAGGCCCACCTGGGTCTGAGTGAGAAGCCCAGCAATCTGGGAGCCGCTTCACAGGGAGGGGAGGCCCGGGACAGGCCCTGTGCCCCAGCTGCTTCTGCTTTGCAGAGAAAGTGCTGCAGTCGCAGATGCTGGCAAGGAGGAGGAAGGGCGAGGCTGCATGGGGTGGGGAGGGAGGCAGCTTGCCTGCTGTCTGCTCAGGTTCCCAAGGGTGCTCAGCCAGGTGGAGCTGCTGGCCCTGGAGCTGTGATGTGGCATTGGGTCGTCTTTGACGGAGCAGACTCTGGCTTCGCAAGCCTCTTCAGAGAGTGTCCTGGGCCAGAGGCACTGCCAGCACCAGCTTCTCCGCAGCCTGAGCCTCTTATCTGTGGTTGTAACAGCTGCGCACAGATGGTGACATGCACATGTGCATGTGCTTAGACACCTCATTACCCCCAAACCACACTGTGGCACAAGTCATCTGGTCGCAAAGGTATTTTTCCATGAATCGTTTCAAGCGAGTATTAGATTCCTAGGAAATTGGAACCACCCTAGAAGGGAAGGAGGGCCACAATTTTCAAGTTTCTATACTAGAAAGAGGATACTTTAAAAATATCTGGGTGAGCACATAGCCCGGCCGTGCTCTGGTGGCTTCTGGCTGTGGAAGCAGATCCTGCTATTCCTCCGGGTCACTGTGGCAGGACAGGCACAGGAGGCTGTGGAGAAAGCCGTGTCACCTAGGCCCTCGTGGTCCTGCCACCCAGCACCCTCCAGAGCTCTGGGGAGCCCTTCTCTCTGATGTGGGGGGATGACTGGAGTCTGCTAGGCTCCCACTACTTCTGTGAGTTGGGGGTGCTCTCTCAAGCTCTGCCTGCTTCATCCCTTGATACTCTTCCCTTGGTCCAGCCTCAGGACAGGAGCGGCAGCATGGGGCCATTGGCAGTCCACACAAATCTGTACCTTTGCTTTGAGTACAGACTTCTGATTCCTGCCACCGAGAGGCTGTGTGGCCCCAGCCTTGGGGACAGAAGGAGCAGGAGCCCGTGGTCACTTCCTGCTCAGCTGCTCGCCATTTCTACTGTTCTCGGGAGCTCACAGGTGGGGGCCCTTCACAGGGGCTGCCTAGGCAGCCAAGAGGCAGGAGTGGAAGTTGCAGAGGCAGCAGAGGCTGAGGGCAGCGAGGGGTCTCTGTTGTCCCTCGGTCCCTAGAGTGAGCCCAGCATGGAGGCAGCAGCTCTCGACTCAGACCTGGCCAGCCTGTGCCTGAGGCTCCCCCAGGAGAACAAAGTGCGCCGAGCAGTGCTGCTCCTCTTCAAGCTCGTTTTCTACCTCCCCTTCCTTTGTGTGCCCAGCAACACACCCACCAGGGATCATTACCTGCACTCAGGATATGGGTGCCAGGCTGGGCAAGAAGTAAAAGCAGGCTCTTGGCCTCAGAGACCTTAGCTGTCCCCATGCCAGGCTATGGCTTTCTCCACTGGCTGCTAAGATCTGATCTCAGAGCTGTAGGACTACTTCAGGGCCACCTCCTCCAGGCCATCTCAGCCCCAGATGCCCCATCTCTCCCAACCATCTCACCCTCATCGCGCAGGGAAAGCCCTCCAGCGATGTCTCACCCACTGGCAGCATGGCATCCTGGGCACCAGCCGGGCCCAAGGCAAGGTCCCAAACACAGACTTAGTCACAGCTGCTGCCCTGCAGGGGGTTTCAGTGCCAAGAGCAAGCCCGGAAAGTGAAAGAACCCACTGTCAGGGATCCAGGAGATGGAGGACAGCGACAGCCATCTGGCTCAGTGTGGTCCTTGCTGGCTGAGCCTGGAGGCAGAGGGACGGGCCAGCTGGGCCAGCAGCCCAGGCAAGGGATATCTCCTCTGTCCTCGTCCTCCTGAGGAATGAGAAGGGGGCTGTGTAGACATGCGGGAGAGACAGGAGGCCCATCAGCTCGCCGGCAGATTGCTGGAAGACAGTGGCATCAGGCAGAATAGAGGGAGGCACAGCTGGAGGTACTGAAGGCAAAGTGGACAGGAGGCAAGCCGATCCTGTCATCAGAGGACCACCATGGTTAGCCCTGCACTCCAGACAGCTTCAGCAGGGACAGCAGGCAGGCTTCATGGTACCCTTTGTCCCCAATTCCCACCAAGCTCTTTTTACTGGGGCTCCCGGGGCCTGCACAAAGGTCGAGGCCGTGGCCTAGATGAGACCCTGGCAGAAGGTGTGTGTGTGGCCCAGTTCTCAACCACCTAGTTCCAGGCCCTGCAGGCCAAGAAGGTTCTGGTGAATATGGAAACAGAATTTGGAAGAACTGGAGCCAGCAAAGTGTCAGCCCTTTTGGGTTCTACCAGTGCCCCCAAAGCCCGCACCTGTGGCTCCTGGGAATTCCTGAGCACAGCTTCCTCGAGTCATCCCAGGGGTCTTATCCTCGCTGTCTTGTGGCAATGTGAAAGTCAGCTTATTCCACCTTGGCCAAGAGGTGAAGTTGGGCAGCTGTTTCTGGTTACCTGAAACTGAGGTGCAAGATGCTTCTGTCAGTGTCCGACACGTTGAAATGTGCTTTGTAAATGGGGCTGCGCGCCCACTCCCTCCGCTCTTCTCCTCACTGTTGTGATGGGAGCAAACGCAGTTCCGCTGCATATTTGACCCTCAGAATAGGTTGTCTCTATTACGATGCCGTAACATTTTTTAGAACTTCTTGTTAAGAAAATTTCAAACACACTAGAGAAAACTGTATAATAGACCTGTGTGTGTCTTCTGTCACCTAGTGTTTACCAGTTATCAGAAGAACAAGAATACTCGCAGTCTGAAACTAACACAAGGAAGAAGTGATAAAGATCAGGGCAGAAATGAATGAAATGAAGACTAAAAAAAAAGACAGTGGGAGGAATCAGTGGATCAAAGAGTTGGTTCTTTGAAATGACGTAGGTGGGGTGGGATCGGGGAGACGAAAGAGAGAGGAAAGGAGAGATGAGAAAGGTCAGGACGCGAGGGGAGTGTGCGCCACCTCCTAAGGATGACAACGCTCACTGTGACTCACAAACATACACTCGTATAGAAAGGGTGAAACTGTTATTAACTCAGACTCATCCATTCATTTCCTGCCCTGCAGATTATGTTGAAAAGAATGCAAATATATTTTGCCTATAAATATTCAGTGCCCCCTTTAAAAAAAAAAGTCTAAAAACAATCATAATTCCAATGTCACATGTAAGCACGAATAACAAGAATTGCACGAGCAATCCTGTGCCACCCCCATTCCTACCAGAGGTCATGTCCTCTGTGAATACTTGAGTATATTTCTCTAAAGAGAATCCCTTGGGCTGGTGAGATGGCTCAGTGGTCTAAAGCACCTACTTGGAACAAGCTTGGCAAAGCACAGGGACCGCGGTTCAATCCCCCAGCACCACATGCCAGCCAGCCCCGCCCCCTGGTGGGCTGAGCTGGCCACACACACACACACACACACACACATAAATAAATAAAGAGAATCCCTTAAAAGTGACCACAGCACAGTCATCAAACGATCAAACGTAAGGTAGAGAATAATTCTTATGAGCATCAAATATCCAGCCAGTACTCAAGATTTGCTGTATGCCTTTTTTAAAATTTTGTTTTCTAAAAAAGAAAACTATGCAATCATTCTTACAATCTCTGCCAAACAAATTTCTAAAAAATAAAATAAAATTTGGGCTCTGTTCATGCGGATTCCCATTGGTGAGTCCCCTTTTCTCTCTGACACCAAAAGTCCACTGAATACCCAGCTCCTATAAATGTGTAGGTCAGTGTGACATTTCTTAAACTGTGGTTCCTGAGTGATACCTGGGATTATCAAATTCCCCATGTTACTGTATAATTAATATTATTACTAATGTGACCACTGCTTTAGTGGTAGTTCAGGCACTTACTAATATAACCCTCCCATAGATAATAGTACAGCTAT